TATTACATAAGAAGAATGTTAGTGAAATTTTAGAATGGAATGGTATACGGTATGTTTTCATATTAATTTTATTGCGGCAAGAAGAGAGCGTACCAATTCTTAAAACGCCGGTACGCACTCGCGAGCATTGAGAGTGTCCGTAGGGGTTGTTCAAGTATTACGTAAGCACATAGGGGAGAGGGGGGGTCTTTGATTTTCTTACTTGGAGATTTATTTATTTATACTTTACACATAACAAAATTAAAAAAGCAGGTAAAAAGGAGATTACGTCAACAGTAAATATTTACTTTTTACACATTACCCACACATTGTCTATGCTTGAAAACGAAATTCTTACAAAAAACTAATACGTTTATGGACTATTATTTTTGAGAGAGAGAGATTTATATTTTCTTACTTTTGCTGATAAGAGGAAGGGGGGATAAAATTATTGATCGGCCCCATAGGCGGCTGTATCATTTAACATCAGATGAGCCTACAAACAATGGTAGTTTTATATAGAATCGTTTAGTTTTAAAATAACATGTTTAATTAATTCATTAATTAAATACTTAATGAATTGAAAAGGCAGTTTCAGTCTGTAATGACTTACTTACTTGACTTAATGCTCTATAACCCTTAGATGGGGCAGAGGGCGTCCACAGTGAGTCTCCATCGCGTTCGGTCTTGAGCCTCGCATTTCACCTCGCTCCAAGTCTTTCCGACTCTCTTTGCCTCATCTGCAACTGTACGGCGCCAGGTTTTCCTGGGCCGACCACGTTTCCGCTTACCTTGCGGGTTCCAATCAAGCGCCTGATTGGGAATATGATTGGAATCTATTCGGAGTGTGTGGCCTATCCATTTGCGTCGCTTGATATGCTGGCTGATCGGGGATACTCGGCAGAATAATGTCCACATAAATTTGTGTCATTATGTATTACGCATTTTGTATTTAAACATATATTTATATACTAAAAACACGGGATTCGCATGTTCAGTTTATCCTGATACTTATTATACAGGTGTATACTAAATTGTGCATTTTTTTTAGGATTCTAGTTGACCTCATGACTTTAGCACATTTACATACATCGCGCGCGATGGTGCCAACTCAATCAAACGTCATCGAAGGCCCAGCGCAGACGAGCGATGGAGATAGAGAGTGGTATTATAATCTGGAGAAAGGAGAGAAGGTCGTCAGAAAGGGCCCTGTTAGTTTTCAACAGGTATAAAGTGATATTTTATTGATGACACACAAACAGATATACAGGACCTACCAAGACTACGGAACATCAAGGGAAAGTACCTTAAATATCTTAGATAGAAAATTTTATTTTGAGTCGGTCCGATTCCCAGACGAAACAAGTAATTTTTAGAAAATCATTGAATGCAGTTATACTTACTTTTCAAAATAAAATAAAGTCTTCTTTCAGCAAAATATCCTATCTACGATTTTTAAGGTACTTCCCCTTAGTGTTCCCTTGATGTCTTGGGACGCCTTGTATATAGATACAATAAGAAAATAGTCAATGTTAATAATTATTTACAGTATCAGTAAAATATTTCAAAACATGTTTCATATTTAAATAAATGCTAAATAGTATGTTCGTCCATAAATTTATCAGAAACTAAAGGTCATACTCATTTGAATCTGATTCATTGCCACATAGGGAACAGTCCAAGTTTCAACAAAATCGATTCAGTAGTTTTTAAGATACCTACAATTTTTTGGAGGGTATATATATATATATAATAAAGACAGGTATTTAAAGTTCCAAAGACCTTTTTTTAAACTTAGACTAAAAGAAATAATAATGAATAAGTTTATCTCAACAAACAATAAATGTGTAAAGGTTATGTCAATAAAAGACAATACAATATTTATTCCAGCTAAAAGATCTATACAAATCAGGGGAAATCAACAACAAGACGAAATGCTGGGCCAACAGCATGGAAGGTTGGAGAGCAGTGGCCGGTATACCACAACTCAGATGGAGCATTGCCGCTCGAGGACCACCAGCCCTCACTGAGACGGAGTTGGCAGCGACTGTACTTGATTTACTTATAACCTGCTCTAAGTATTATCCTAGCAGGTAAGTGTACGCGATTGTACTATTAACATAAGTTATGATAGTCTGTGTCTTTTTGTCTATGAATCTTCTGTTGGAAAGACTTTTTTTTTTTTTTTTTTTAAGACAATTCACACCAATTGACCTAGTCCCATCTAAGCTGGTGAAGCTTGTGTTATGGGTACTAGCAAACGGATATACATACATATTATACATAGATAGACATATAAATACATATTAAAACACCCAAGACCTAAGCACAACATAAAATGCTCATCACATCGATGTTCGTCTCAGCCGGATCGAACCCGGACCCATGGTTTCGAAGTCAGGGGTACTAACCACTAGACCAATGAGTCGTCGAAGACTAAGTTTGCTGTTTCGAATTTTCATATATTTTAGTTTATTTATTTATGACCTCAATTTATGAAAAGCGTTCCGTAGTTGCGGTGTTTATAATCTTGTATTATTCAATTAATTTGTGGGCGTAATTTTGTTTAATAATTTATAATAATAATAATTTTAAATAAAAGCAAAAATATCTCAACCAGTTGAGCAATTATAATTATTAAATTAAAACACTAAAAAGATTTTTTTCATTCTTGTTTGCGTCTTTCAGTAATAAATTAAATGGACAATCTGTTATTGACATTATTTGCAAATCAAATAAATTTTGAAAAAAATAAGGTTAATTAAGGTAATTGAAAAAAATAGGAATATATTCATTGTGAGAAAGGGCTGATGAGATTTCAAAACTATTTCAAATTGTTTAATAGTGACTATTGTACAAATTGTTATTATTATTTATTATAATAATGAAAATTGAGTGTCGCACCAGTCCTTATGACGTGTCATGCCTGTTTATACCTATACAAACGTTAATTATTCCGAGTCAGTAGAGTCAGCCCGTCAATTGGACCAATCCTGATCTTCCTGTATTTTGTTACGTGACTTGCGAACTGGTAGTAAATGTTAATTTAGAATTAATTTAACATGTTTTCTGTTGACGTTCATAAGTGTACTTGGTTACCTATATGCATAAAGTTATTTTGAGTTGAGTTGAGTTAAGAATTCGAGTAGCCTGAGTTTTTACTTACTGAACGTTTGCTGTATGTAAATTACGATCTAATTTTAGGGATGAAGAAGACGCAGTAATAAGACCTCTGCCGAGGGTGAAGCGGCTGTTATCGGAACCGGCTTGTTTGGCGCACGTCGTACAACTCTTGTTGACCTTTGATCCTATACTTGTGGAAAAGGTGATTTTGAGAAGTTTTCATAAGAAATTTTCTGTTGAAAAGTATTAAGGAGTGGTATTAAGTGGGCTTAGGGTAATTACAATATAAGGTGGCAATTTGTTATTTCTGGGGTATGGCTTTATGAAGAATGTAGAAACATAACCAGAGCTTTCTATATAAAAACATATTTTTCCTGTAATTCTAGGAGAACCATTTAAGAGATATTTTAAGTTATTTTTGATAATAATGATGTCAAGATTGATTTGGAAAAGTCAAAGACTATGTTTTAATCAATGGGGAAATTTATACATTTGACTCCACAAAGTTCGTTTCGCCTTAATATTTTTGTTTCCGTACCAACCTTTTAAGTAGCTGCATACCAATATATGGCACATTGCTATTCTACCCCATAGAAACTATTCGTTTCCCAAATAGAACTAAATTTTTCTGTTTTTTTTTTGTATTTTTTAAATTTGACTCTACAATAACCTTCCTTGCAGTTCAAGGAATAAATAAAAAAATACTCTAATTGGTCTAACCGTCTTTGAGATTTGCGTTTATTTATATAGATAAAATGGTTTATTTTGTCAGGTGGCAACACTGCTATACGAAGTGATGCAGGACAATCCAGAAATTTCGAAGCTTTACCTCACCGGAGTATTTTACTTCATGCTGCTCTATACTGGTTCTAATTTATTGCCGATCGCCCGGTTCCTGCGACTCACGCATATGAAGCAAGCTTTTAGAGCAGATCAGGTAATAAAACGCAAGTGATTTTTTTAACTAGTGATTTTGAGACAATAAATATTCTAATTCGTGTCTGTAAAATTATATTACTTTAGATTAAGGATTCTGCACTTCTCGCACGCATCATGTGTCTTTTTTTTTTAGTTTTTCTCTTAACTAGGGTTGCCTGGAAGAGATCGCTTATTAGCGATAAGGCCGCCCGTTGTATCCCTTATAATTTTTATGTATTGTGTTTCTTATATTATTAGCAACGAAGTGTAAATAAATAAAATATGTCAGTCAAACTTGGAACAGAAAAAATGGTTTTACAGCTGTTGAAACTGAATTTGAGTTTGATTGACATTCTAGAATACATAATCCTTTATATGCGCGTAAGGATTTCTTTTTTTAGCTTATATTTTATTAATAATATTTTAACATGTCTTAATATTAATCTTAGTAGATTGAGATTTGCAGTGGTATCAATACTAATATAAAAGTAAAACTCATGTAAGTGAACAGGGTATGAGAAACACATCTTTAAATGATATTAAAAGATGAACGAATTATGATAGATTAATTCGTAACATGCAACTTTTTCATAAATTATTTTACTTAGGGATGTGAAAAAATAATCGATTATTAAAAAAATCGATTTTAATCGTTTTTTTTACGCGATTTTTATATTTAAAATAATCGATTATTTTTATAATTGAAAATCAATCTTAATCGATTTTTTATCTGCCACCTACCGACATTATGTCTGGTCTTTTATAACCCGGACCTCGAACTATTAGGGATATTCGATACACAACGATGTTTACAATGCGATACATTGAATCGGATTCTTTGAAGATGTATTGATATACTCGATACATTGATGTTTTTTTTGTAAAACATCAAAAGGATTATAAAAGCAGTTAATTTTACAAAAACTCAAGTTTGAATGGAACACTATAATTTAAAAGTAAAATAAATTTATTCAGCAGCACAAGACTACATACAATTAAAAAGAGAACAAAAATACTGCAATGTGCTACTGAAAAGGATTACACTCAGAATTTATCAAAATCTATCAAAACGAAATTAAGTTAATTTCGATTTTGATTATTCTTAAACGTTAATTTGTGTTTATAATTTCTATTGTTTATTTTTAATTTAAAAAACCATGAAAACTAAAATATTTAGGGTGTTTATTTTGAAATTAATTCAAAAATTAGGAAAAAATCGATTAATAAAAAAATCGATTATTTTTTTAAGAAAAATCGATTTTTTATGCAGAATGTCACATCCCTAAATTTATTTTTACTATTAAAATGCCAATCTGAGAAGTGTCTACTGTCTAATGAAACTACGCTGATCACTTAAACACTTAAATTAAATTACTGCTACTAATGTATGTTACATATTACTAATATTTCTCAAAAATGTCACAACAGTTATACGCATTTATGAACGTATTTTGTATATGCGTTTAAGTATATTATCATTAGCATATCGCGCCATCTATTGGTAAACTATTGTGATTTGAACAACTATTTATTTCAAGTGTTGCCTAGTATATCCGCATATAGAAAGATGGTGCACGGTGATTCAAACGAACATTCTCAGGAGTAAAGCGCCCCTGGTCAATATTACTTTTCTAATAAAAATTACTTTTTAGTTTTTATATATTTCCTGTTTCCAGTCGACATCCGATATAATGCAGAGATCGATTCTTGGTCAATTATTGCCTGAGGCGATGGTCTGTTATCTGGAGAATCATGGCTCTGAGAAATTCGCCCAAATTTTCTTGGGCGAGTGGGATACGCCAGAGGCAATATGGAACTCTGAAATGAGGTATATTAAAAATATGGCGCTACAACCTTTGAACTTGGCTTCAAATATCTGTTTCGTGATATTTTATTAATAGGCAAGTAGGTGATTAGCCTTTTGTGCCTGATGCACTCCACTTTTTGGGTTAAAGGCATGTCCTCCTCACGATGTTTTCCTTTCCTTCCATAAAGAGAAGCCCTGGAAAACACTGCTCTTACTATAAAACGAGTAACGTATCGTGTTTAACGTACAATGTTATCTATAGACTTCCAACATTCATATATTTTTAAGACTGAGGTGAATTGTAGTACATTATAATATACCAAGTTACTGTAAGATTGGAAAATAAGGAAATAAATAAATAAAAAACTGGTCCTGAATTCGATTTTCGGCGAAATAGTAATTGTATTTCTTCGACTCAAAATGTCTCATGGCCTCCTAAACGAGAAAGTAGTTTTTTTCCTTGTACAAATTAAGCCGAAGTATTTCTGAAGTAAGACTTCCGTCTCTTTCTGTCGAATAGTATCTACGCTGTGAGCAAAAGAGACAGATTGAATTGAAATTAGTCCAATTAATTTAAGAATTCATATCGTTCCAGACGCATGCTTATAATGAAGGTATCAGCGCACATAGGGGAATTCACGCCGCGGCTAAGAGCACACATAGCGGCCCGTTACCCGTACTTGGCGATCCCAGCTGTCAGATACCCTCAACTCAGTCACGAGTTGTTCTGCAATATGTTCTATTTGCGTCATTTGTGCGACGAACACAAGTTCCCGGATTGGCCTATACCGGATTCAGTATGTATATATAGATTTTTGCTTAAAAATTCAAACTTATACAAAGTCCTAGCGTGATCGAGAGGTGTCGTGTACGCACGAGTACGTGTCTTGTCTTAACTTTAAAAAAATCACGAATCCACTCAAATTTCATCAAAATCGTTCCAGCTTTTTTGAGGAGTTTAATTACAAATACCCACATAGAAGATTTACTTGTAAAGATATACACTATTCTAAGTGTAATATATGAAAAAGCTATCTAATAGAGTAAGAAATTATTTATTTACAAATAAGGTTTATTTAGCTTAGGATCCCTTATGGAGTCATTAATTTTTTAATATTTTGCAAGCTCATACATTTAAGAGTTAAAACGTCGAGTCCTATCGTTTTTTATACATAATATACTCCAATGCAAATCACATATAGGGTAGATATATATATATGAAATAAAAAGATATATAAAAAAACTTATGCGGTAATGGGACCGGCCCATTTCCATTTTAACTTTTTTGAATGTGTTGCGACGTCTGTCAGATGTCATAGTATATAAATAAAAACAATATATGAGAATCAAACATTAAAAAATGTGACACTTAAATTTAATTTTATTATTTTAATTTTGACTAGGTGGGTCTTCTAAAGGACGTGTTAGAAGCATGGCGTCGCGAGGTAGATAAAAAGCCAGCGTCGATGACAGCGGAACAAGCGTATATGGTGCTGGGGCTGAGTGGGAGTGGGCCTCAGGATGAAGCGGCTGTTCGGAAAGCCTATTACAAATTGGCACAGCAGTATCACCCTGATAAGAATCCAGACGGACGGGTAAGATATTTACACATTATAACTTTGACATTAATAAGTTTTATTCTTTCCATTTTGTTCATCAACAACTTATGAGATTTGGGAGGATTACATATATTTTTTTATTTAGATTAATCTTAATAATTAAAATCATCAATAATAATTAAAAGATCCTGTCTAAGGAACAATGTTATTTTCGATCCTAAAACTCATAGTTGCTAAAGTGGGTTATGTTCCTTTTTGATTGGCGTTCCCTTGACAATCTAATTCTTAACACTTCTACTCATAAAACTAAATTCTATCACTCCTCCTTTACGGTGCAAAGTATCCTACTTTGGAACTCCTCTTGGTATCAGACAAGCTTCTTTTTTTAGGATTATTTAAGAATCTTCTGCCTCGTGATTAGCTACTTATTTATTAATTATGACTCACTAAGATTAGCTTTTACTTTTTTATTATTTTTTAAATTTTTTTTTAGTGTTGCATAATTATGCAAGTGTAATTTGTTGTTTTTCTATTAGTTGTTGATGCACTTCTTGTACTTTACCCTCAGTAGGTGTTTCTTTTTTATTTTTCCATACTAAGGTTGCCTGGAGAAAATCGCTTGTTAGCCATACGCCCGTTGCGTAATTATTTATGTAGCCTGTTTTTTATATGTATGATTAAAGTAACGTAAATGAATAAAAGTTTATATATTTTCAGAAAAAACATTCTTTAAACAAGATATAGATATAGTCAAATCAAAATTGCCCGAACGAGTTATAAACGGTCATCACAATAATAAAATATTAGTTCTCATTTTTAATCTTATTATAATTATAGAAAAATAATGAGAGCCATCTGAGCTTTTGAAGAATCTTGATATCAGATGTGTTTGATAAAGAATTTGGATTTTGGATATAGTTAAAATCTCCATGTATTAGTTCTTATTTTTCTTTCTTTACTTTATTTCTATTTATAAAGCTATATTTTTGAAACACTGATTAATATAGGACCGATGTGAAAAGGATAAACAGGAAGTATTTTAATATTTTCACAGGATCGTTTTGAGGCCGTAAATCACGCGTACGAGTTCCTCTGCAGTCGCAACGTGTGGTCGGGAGACGGACCGAACACGAATAACATTTTGCTCATATTACGCACTCAGACCATACTTTTCAAGAGATATTCTGAAGGTAAAGGAAATTGTTGTTTTTCAAGTGGTTATTTAAATTATAGTAGACTTTATTTCTACGTGTGCATTTAACATTCGTTGGAATGGTTAAGGAAAACATCGTGTGGAAACCGGCTTGCCTTAGTACTTGTTCACGTTGACTCGCGGGCGCGGTGGCGGGCGCGGTCACGAAATATCAAACATGGCGTCCAAGTGTCCACATACGAAACGCACGTGCGGTTTCGCCACTTATCCGCGCCCGCATCCGCCGCCGCGCCCGTTCTTTCCAACGTGAACAAGCACTTAGACCCAAAAAGTCGACAGCGTCTGTCAGGCACAGGAGGCTGATCACCTACTTGCCTATTAAATTGACAAATTGATCATGAAACAGATACAGAACTCCGAGGCCCAGACTTAAAAAGGTGGTAACGCGACGGATTTTTATTTTTAATAAGACAGTACGTAATAAAGCCGATTATCTTATTTACAGTACTAGCTCCATACAAATACGCGGGTTACAAACAACTCTTGCGCACTATGCAGTTAGAGACAGAGGGTGAGCAATTGTTCGCGGAACAAGACGCATCTGTGGCCCTGTTGCCCGCTGCTGCTGAACTTGCGCATGCGACTGTACACTGTTCTGCCTTGAATGCGGAGGAATTGTGCCGCGAGGATGGTTTACAGGTATAACTTGAAATATATTACCTTTTCCAAGGTTGTTGATTCTAATTAAATGTAATGGTGATAAAAAATAGCCTTTTTCGAGTACTATATAATCAGAATTACATTAAGAGAATGTCTCTATGCTTAACATTAGTACTCGACCTCCGATGGAATAAAGGTTTTCTCCAAATTCTTCCACATGTCTCTCATCCTCGCCACCATTTTCCAATCCCGCTATCTCTTTTATTCCATCTTCCCAGGTTTCTGGCGATCGTCCTCTCTCTTATCTTCCCACTTTCTTGTTTGTTATGGTGATAGTCTATAATATACTTTGAAATCTTGACAGAGCTAAACATGCGATAATTATAAATATTCTTAAACAAATATACTACTATAGCTGGAGTCCCTAGGGTTACCTTTTCATTCAGATACTTTTACATTTAAACACGTTTCTATTTCAATCTTCTTTTAGGTATCTGTGTCTTTTTTTGGAAAGGCCTCCTCAAAATCCCGCCATTCTTCTCTGCGCTGTGCCACTCTCTGCCATATACCTGCTGTTTCTTTAATTTGGTCTATCCACCTTCTAATTTGTCTTCCTCTTTTTAGTTTGCTGTACCTTTTAACTACATTATTTTAAATAACTACGGTGCTTTTGTAGTTTAGTTAGAATTTAAATTTAACTATTTGATTCCATTTTTAGCGCTCTGTCAGATTATGGCTTGTAAACGCTGAAATTTATAAATGATTACTTATTTTACGACTTAAGTTTGTGTTGTGAATAGAAGCGTCCGAATTTGCCTCTCTCACTTAGTAACTTGCAACACAATGCCTGCGCTCTGAAAATTGCAGTCTACGTAATATGTAACTAAAATATATACAATTTTCTGAATTTTATTTTTGTTATGTAATTGACAGGTCCTAAGTTCGGCTCTGTCCCGCTGTGTATCAGTGTTGGGTGGAAGTAAAGCGAACAGTACAGCGGCCCGCGTGTGCGCACATTGCGCTCGTAGCTTCGCTGTTGCTGCCGGTTTTCCTTCTTGTCGGGCTGCTGCTGCTGCTCTGCCAAATCTTGCTGGAGATCTAGTGCCACTGCTCAAACGGCCGGTAAGATCCTATAACATTGTAGTTTTAAGCCAGTTGGCCAATACACTAATCACAATAATACTTAAACATTTCGTTAGAATATAATTAAATATACACAAAAACGTATATAATGTATATAACACAAGATTTTTCTTGTGTTTAAAAATAATACTCACACAACATTAGTTCTGTTCTATGCTATATTGAAGTTTTACGAGACTTAAGACGTTATACACTCTCTAGATCAAAAGATTTAATAGAACAATATATATTTTTAATACACAGAATGTAACGTATACGATATAATAAAACGTATACGTAAAAAATAAGGCTGAACTGTAGACAGCTCAAATACATTCAAATCCAAAATTAATTTTCATTGATTTTACATAAAAATTACAGCAATTAGGTGATACAGCGTGCGCGGGCGCCGAAGCCGTTGCGGCGTTATCAGCGGAACCGACGTGTCGTGTTTTACTAGCGAAGGCCGGTGCCGTTCACGCGCTGTTGCCGCCCGTTCTGCAGTACGACTACACGCTCACCGAAAGTGGTATGGACACGGAGAAAGCGGCTAGCAAACAGGTATTTCAGATATTGATATAAACACACGTTTATATACATACGTACGTATACGTACACACGTACGTGTTGCCTTTTTCTAATGGGTTTGTCTTTGCTGTAACGGAGAATCATAAAATTTCGATTATTAAATGTGTTTCACTTGGGTTAAAATTTGTTTTGTAATATATCTGTACGACAAAGAACGGTTCGTTAGCCGTTGTTACACAATTTTATCTTAAAGTAATAGGCCCTGAGTCGATCGCATCTCGATCTCGATCATCTCCCATCGACATCTTCTTAACAGGGTCGTATTAAGGGCAGATTTTTCAAAATCGACATGTGTCAGACACAAAATCCTGATAACGTAAAAAAATTAACAATTTTAGGTCCACTCCTTTTTATAGTACTTATTTTTTGGGAAATTATACAAAGAATTACTTTGTAGGAGATCGCTAACCGCCTAGCAGTACAATGTGTACGCGCATTGTCCGCATTATATGGACCTCACGAAGAGGCTTCCGCAATAGACGACAGTGTTAAAGATGCCCTTCATCTTCTCCTGACACCATACCTTTGCTCCAAACTTGCCAATCCTGATACGCATGAGGTAAGTTTTCTTATTAAGCGAAAAGTGTATGTATGATTCGATTTTACTCATGTTGATAATACGTTAGAAACTTGCGCGCTATACTTGACCATTATTACGTGGGGTTTTGTCAAAACTATGATTTGGATTTATTGTAATAGCATAGTGTTTGAATAATTATTAAAAACTACATCCGCATCACTTGGATGGCTGGAAGTCTTCCACGGTCCGGCTTATCAAGACATTTTCTATCGCGGACTGTGGAGTCGACTTCCGGTGGTGGTCTACTCTGGGAGATACGATCTTAAGATACAATTGGTTAAAAGGAGTATACTCCACCCTCAAAGGCCGGCAACGCACCCTCTAAAGTGAGTGTGCATGGGTTGCGATGACTGCCCTTTTTGAGCGTCCCGTTATCTGGTCCCTATTCAATAAAAATGTATACCTTCGAATTAATACTTAATTACTATGCAATTTATTAGCTTAAGAGTCTATAACATCAAACAAACCAGAATAATATTTTTTCGTATAAATTTTCAGCTCCTAAAAACCCTAACATCCAATTGGAGAACGCCATATCTTGTATGGGATAACAGTACAAGGGCAGAACTACGAGAGATGCTTCGCGATTATCGCTACTTTAGTGATGATGAACCTCTTATAACACCATTCGAATATTCTGCCCATGAGCGTTTGTTACTTGTTGGTGGGGTCTACTTACATATATACAATGAGCAGCCAGAGTTTACTATAGAGGTGAGTTTTTTAAACCGACTTTATGTGTGACTGTATGTTTGTCCTGAAATGTATGGAAAACGAAAGTCGAGATGATCTAATTAAGATCAGGTATATTCCAACTTAGGCAACAGTCCAAGTTTTGACTTGATGTTCTGAGGTATTGGAAATATTTTTTGAAGTGGATCACATTTGACAGTTTAAAATTTTATTGACATTTTTGACCTTGTTGTATAAAATTAAATGAAGAAAGATGAAAAAAACCTTTTTTAAACTTTTCGTGTTTCGATTTTTTGTTATTATTTTTAATTTATATAATAAAGTTAAAAGATTGAATTATGTTATCCTATATCTGCTATTTCACTATTAACAGAATGACAATATAAATGACATAATTATTTATATTTATTTTTATTTACACCTAGGGACACTCATAGTCGAGACATGACACAAAATACGACCGTATGTCATAATGACGTACCAGAGTCGTACTTACCTTCACATCTCGATCATCTTATAAGTCTAAGTAATTACTTGATAATGCTTACTTGCAGAATCCTCAACAATTCGTTTTAGACTTGTTGAAGTTCGTAGAAAGCGAAATACAAAAAGACTTTACGGATGAAAGGGCAGAACACATCACCCTTGCGTTGAATTCGCTCGCCCACTGTATTATTAAGAATCCAGGTTAGTATATCCTGCTCTATTGTTCCCGCTTGTATATTTTTCAGCTGATTTACATCATTGAACGTCGAGGCAGAATACGAAATTCCAGTCATATCACCTCGACGTCCGTCTTTCTACAACCGGCTGGCCATCGGTGTATTTCCGAATTAATTCGATTTAGGGTCCTTTAAGAAAAGAGCGTACCAGTTCTTAAAAGGCCGGCAACGCGTTTGCGAGCCCTCTGGCAATGTGAATGTCTATAGGCAGTGGTATCATTTAACATTAGATGACAGAGGACCCGTTTGTCCTCTGTTACATAAAAAAAAACCCTCAAAGTCTTGGCCAACCTGGGATGTGATGTGAAGATATAAATAATCTTATTTTTCTCAACTAAACTCAAATTTTCTCTTTGCTTGTTTTAATGTTTTCAATTAGTTTTTTGTATTAATTATTTTTTATTTTTAGTTTATAAGCAATTTAAAATTTGTACTGTGGTGTAGCCCTTCAGGCGCCAAGAATATCTTAATGGTTTTTTTTTTTTTGTTGTTTTTGTACTTTAAGTTTACTTATATATTAAGCAATAATGACTTCAAAAAGACTGATTTTAGCTATGTACTAGTGGCTCGGTCGGAGGTTTAGCCGGCTCTGCAATTTTTAAATAACCTTAAATTTATGGAAATAATGGATAATTTTAGAACTAAATTCTCCAATTTGTTGCAAAACGGTATTGCTTTTTATCAATGACAATACGTTCAGAATGAGTTTAAAAAAAACACATTTGTTTTACTAATGAGTGTCTCAAATTAAATATTCCAGGCGTAGAAATACAATGCAACGGCCAGTTCGGTTTAATCTTCGGCCTTTTATCTGCTCGGTCTCACCCACCGGTTTGCATTGCGGCCCTCCGCTGCGTCTCGGCTACGGCTGGTTGTCGCGAGTGTGTGGAAGATGTTGCCGCGAGCGGCCTTCTGGGACATTTGTTGCCGCTCCTTGTGGCCTCGCAACAGGTTGAGGCCGTGACCGCCATGTCCGCTTTGCTTGCCAGTACCGCGCTTGTTAGAGAGGCGTTGGCAAAAGGTATGTAAAGCTTAATATATAATCATAAATTGTTCTTAATATTAAATTTAAGGGAACTAATAATGATCATTCTTTAAATAATTAAGATTACGTTAAATAATGTCTTGTTTATTTATAAATATCTATGAAAATAGCGTTAATACTTTTTGGATTTTTTTAAATTTAATTTATCATAGATAAAATTAAATTGACATTGTAATATACTTTTTCTAATAATTGTATCTAAAAATTGCTATTCCCTACACAATATGTGTTATTATTTATAAGGAATTTGGTAACTTGCGCATAATTTTTTTTTTGATTTGAGAACTGGCAGTAAATGTAAAATTAGAAGCATTTAATATGTATTTGTTTATTGACTTTCATTAGTACATTGTGTTACCTAAATGAATAAATGATTTTGACTTTGACTTGGAAAGCAAAATTCGGTAACCCTGCCAAGTCATTATTTTCAATTGATGTAAGTCTGAAATGATTGATGTAGCAGTGTGGGCATAGTAGTGGCCTAATAGTAGTCGTTCGTTCGAATCCCGGCTTTGCACTAATGGGCTGTGTGCGCATTTCACACTCGCTCGTACAGTGTTGGGAGGAAACCGGCATTAGACCCAAACGTTTGTCAGGTACAGAAGGAATGATAAACTACTTTATCTATCAAAGAATATAGAAACCCTAGACCAAGGGTTGTATCACTTTTTTAAAAGATTCACTCTTCCAAGTCGGCATTAACCAATAAACATCGACCACAAATTCTGTTGTTAATTTCAGTATATTTTTCAGGGGCTGTGATTTACCTTCTAGACCTCTTCTGCAATAGCAAATTACCAGAGATGAGAGAGGCTGCTATAGATTTGTTAGCTAGAATGATGTCCGACAAGTTGCATGGACCTAAGGTATGACACAAATGACCAAATACTGAAATTTTTATTATAGATTACAGAGGTTTTTGGAAAAGTAAAATTATGATTTACATTTGTATCACTTTAAAGCTTATAGATAATAATAACGTTAACCGCCAGACTGAGATTCTCAGCAGCATTATGTTTCATAATCACTCTTTAAATGTTAAATTTTATGAAAATGTTGATTTAGTTTAAGTTCTTGTATTCATTTAAAATACTTTTTACTATTTCCGCAAGAGGAACCAAATTATACCGTACCTTACTACATAAATAATTTAAGGCTAATAAAAAACGTTTAGTACACGTTTTTATTATCTAAAATCTGGCAGATTTTTTTGTAATTCATTCTGAGCAATTTCTATGCATATACCTAGATTTATTATTATTATTAATATAGGTCCGCCTAAGTATATCCCGGTACGTCCCGGGCGTGTTTGCCGAAGCCATGCGGGAAGCGGGGGGAGTAAGTGCCGTTCACATGTTTGACGCTAGTCACGAGCATCCAGAACTTGTGTGGAGCGACGAGTCGAGGCAACGGGTCCGCCAACTTGTTGCCCAACTAAGAGATCAGTATGTATATTGAATACGTAAATATTTCTATTTTATTATGTTTTTCAGTGTTATTACCCTTTCCGTGCAATAAAGTACAAAAAATAATTAAATATTTGATTGTTGATTCATACGTAAGATTACGTGCGCGTTCGTTAGTTACAGTATATACGCTATACGATTAATATTACATACTTAAATGCTAGAATAAACTTGCAGGGCAATGGAATATTTCGTCTTAGTCGTAGAATAGTGACGGATCTGACAAATAGTAAACTTTACAGGGCAGCCATTTCAAAATAATATAACCATTATAGTTTTTGTCATAACTTTTAATTCATATTCTGTTATTATGAAAATTGGCATACAAGCAAACAAAATGGTTTTTTTTGAAACAAAATAATATTAAATTACTTAGTTTTTTAGAAAAATCACACGTTTCTATCAAAGCCGTCACTTTACCGACTGATTAATTTGAAATTTAAAACACATAGAATTTTAATGTAGGATTTGGATTTTTTCAAATCCGACATTGTTCTATGATCATGACGATTTGTGTTATATGTATTTAATGTACAGGTTAAGAAAATAACCCATAACAATGGAGAACTATACGTTAATCTATAATAATAATCTAATATATTGCAAATAAGTTGGAAAGGGTCATTAGATGCGCAAAAGTCTTTTTTTTACTTTTCAACTTCTACTACCCGAAACAGTTTCCCTACGTTATATTTTATCATATGGTATATGCCCGAGCAATGGCGCTGGTATCGGCTCCCAATTTCATTAAAATTCAAATTAGTTCAAAACCGTTACTACGAATGGTTTATTTAATTTGTCAATGTTGCTAGATCTATAAATTAACGACTATTCAATGGTCGATAATCATAATCGTAGACATTATAATGAAAATAAATAATATTGACAATTAAAATAAGCCACATAACGGTTTTGAACTAATTTGACATTGATGTTATTAAATTATAATGAAAATGGCGCAGCCGATACCAGCGCCAATGCTCCGACATATATTATTGACCACTTAGTTGATTGAAGGTTTAAGAAAATGGTTCTAAATGCAAAAGGTCTCAATACAGTGTGATATTATATCACCGCCAGATCCGTGGATTTATAATTCATAAAACATTTCTAGACACTTCTCAAGACAAGTCCGCGACCCGTCCGTCCACTTTGAAGACCGTGAAGCAAATGACAGAAGCGAAGTACGATGGGCGCCCCCTGGTGAAATCGTAGTCGGAGATGTATACCTCAAACTCTATCTACAGAATCCTCATTGGTCTCTACGAAGCCCTAAGAGGTTCCTACAGGAACTGCTCAGCGAAACTGTTACGGCGTTAGCTAAGGATACTTCAGAGGTGAGGTTTTATTCATACTACAAAAATTAGTTTAACTATTGGTTGTTTCGTTTACTCATTTGCAAAGTGATACGAGAGTGATAAGGAAAAAACATTCAATAGCTATTTGTAATAGCCAGTAAATTTACGAATAAATTAATTTAAAACTAAATTTGTGATAAAGTAGAAGATCTAACTTAATATACGAAACAATATTTGCTTTCCGATTCTGTGATTTTTCTTATGTTGTTTTTCTAAACTTAAATTTTCACGTTAATATGTATACATCATTCTGCATTATAAGTACACCCTACATACACACCCTCTCGTACATACCCACACTTTCACACCATCACACAACACACCTAAATTAGGTATAAGTGCTTGGATATTAGTATTACGCCATATGTTTGATATTTCGTGACCGCGCCCGCCACCGTGCCTGCGAGTCAAAGTGAACAAGCACTAACTTAGTTAAATGTATTATATATTTATTATTGTTTTTTTCTTTTGTAAGTGTTTGAACGTTTTTGGAGATGTTTTATGTATTCCATGTGTGGCTATATTAAGTGTAATTGTTTTTTGTTATATATAATTTTTGTTAGCTGTAGGATTACGAAATAAATAGATATTAAAAGCATTATTTTCCTACTATAATGCATTGAAGTACAAAAAGAGTAGTAATTATTTATACCAAAAAAATATATAAAATTTTGTTACTTATTATTTACTTTGAAAAGGCACACTAAAGAAACACATACAAACACTTACAGAGAACACACGAAATACAAAAACACAATACATGCATGTGTGCACCACATTTAAAGGGAAACATTACAATGATTTAAGAGCAAATAAATTATACAATAAACAAGATTGAGAAATACAAATGTGCATCTCTTACATACTGGAGCCTATTATTTATTTAATTAAAAAGAGTCAAATACCAATTCAGGGCAGTCGCGGTGACATTTGTGCGAAGGCCTTAGCGGTGTTGGTCCGATCTCAGCCGACGATGGCGGAGGCTTGTGCGCAGTTAGGTGAAGTGCCGAGACTCACCCGCCTGCTCACTTCGTGTCCGATACACGCCGTGCCCGTGCTGGCTGCCTTGGCTAATTCACAGGTGAATATAAAATAATTAAAACTTGTGATGATTTAGATTGAGTGTATATTGTAAAGTTGACTTAATTGGACAATGTTTGACAATTGACATGTACATAAATGTCTACAGATACCAATCATATTTCAACATAAATGATGCTCTTTGGGATATTTTTAGTTTATAAATTGTTTGAGGCCTGCACATCTCCACTTAGATGTTGTGATACCCTCACGATATCTATCACGCCGGTCTTTTCACGAATGGCCTCATTTCGGACGCGAACGCGAAGGGAGATGCCAAGCATTTTTTTACGCTTTCTTTTGCGAACTAGCGAACTGTGAATCGACTTCCGGTGGGGGTCTTCCGTGAGAGATACGACCTCCGATGACTGCTCTTTTTGGGCGTCCCGTTTTGGCTAGGCTTAGGCTCGTTTAGTCTATAAAAAAAAATTGCACGTTCCACGCTGTGTGACTCAAGCTTTCCGCCGTGGACTGCGTGAGCGTTATAGTTTCGGCTCTGTATGTAAAGACAGACAGGATAATTGATTGAAGACCTATCTTTTGAGTCCTATATATTGTAGAAATAGTAGTGATATAGATTTATTTAATATAAAATCATTTATAAATAAATGCTAAACAATAATAAATTATAATATACGTACTAATTTTTTTATACCTGTGTCTTTACCATGACATCATGGAACATTCCGATCTAGCCTAATGTAAGACTAACCTATTGTACTAATTTTTTATGGATTTTTAACATAAGTGTCCAATAACACTACTTACAGTCTCTATTAAAGGAAAGACACTCTGTTCTTCTGTTTTTTTTTTCACTCGCTGTTTAGCACTTAATACTAACGTGCACTAACACTAATTCACTAGTTCAAATGGTGTCAATGAGTTCACGTGATGGTGGAGCCTATGACTAATTTAAATACCAAATTTTATATCAATCAGTCTTCCCAAACCTGTAATGTATATAGTTCTGACTCGTCTAGCTATTGTTTTAACAATAACAAAGAGATTTTTAATGTTCAGTTCCAGGGATTCCTATAAATGAACACATATATAAATAATTAAATATTTCAGGCATGTGTAGCGGCGTTGTCGCAAACTGAAGTGATGTCAGGGCTAAAGACGGCTGTGAAGAGTTGTCGCGAAGTGGTCGGCGGTGCTTGTGAGGCGCTCGCTGCTATCTTTAACAGCTCGGCTAATACCGATAAATTAGTTTTGCAGGTATTTTTATACGTTTTGTTGAATAACCCATCACTCATGGTTTTTTTTTAAGTAAATTAAAACTACATGTATGGTACAGTCCAGCGTCAGATGGGGACGATATATAAAATAATTATTTATATATTTATTCACAAAAATACATACATACCTTACAGTACTAAGCCAATACGATAATGTCGAGGAAAAAGTAATACAATATTAAATACATAATACACACAAATATACAATTTAATTTCAAGTAAAAAAGTATTAGAAAAAGTTTTTTTAACGATATATCTAAAATTTTGTAAGTATGTAGTGTTAACAAAGAAATTGATTGTTGAGAAATCATGGAGTTACATTTTAATATAATGTTAGGGTTAGCGGCAATCTGGTCCGGTAAAAAAATCTATAAATGTCCTTTGAGATTAAATATAAATTTAAAAGGGCCTCCTTCGAATTTTCTCTTTGGGGTAAAATAAAATGACATTAAAAAATAAAACTTGTTTTATAATTTATACTTTATACTAAACGAGCAAAGTCATAGAGTTAAGCGATAACCGCTGAAGTGTGCATTTCTTGCTATTAAATTAATGTATTAAAACGTATTTTACAGGCTTTAGACTCAGACCTAATAGGAGAGCTTCTATCCCTTCTAGAAAGTGGTATAGAAGGTGAAACAGCGGCAAGACTAGTGAACGCCCTCAAAGCGATGGCCCGTTCGAACGCGTACGGCGAACGCGTACGTACAACGCTGGCTAGATCACGTGTATGGGAACAGTATTCTGCGCAGAGGCACGATCTGTTTATTACGTCTGCGCCTAATCAACATTCGCTTACAGGTATGCTAATTATAGCTGGTGCATTTTGTCAATTTTTTTTTCGTACAATCTAGTATAATTTTAAAATTAATTTATTATATGTAAATGGTAAATAATAAGTATTTCTTAAATTATGTGTTATCAAGATTTTATGCGATTTTCTCTGACGATCTCCGTTCTAAAATCTTTGAATATTTTCACGCAGTAATCCAGAAATACCTACGAATCGCTAGTTCTTTTGGCACTTACTTCTCTAGTACAGAAATAGATTGACTCATTTAGATATGAAATTTTAAAATAAATGAATTGAAATATCAATCTGTAAAAAAAAATTGGAAATGAGTATTGAAAGTGGAATACTCAAAAATCTAATTATAGAGAAACGTGCACCTTGGCACGATCATACGTTCGAACCCTGACTATACATAGAGAATTTTTCTTGCGCAATTTGATAATTGATCTATGGTGAAGAAAAAATCGGTACGTCTTAGACTTAAATCAATGCGTGTGTCAGGAGGGTGATCACCTATTTGCTTTTATATATATAAATATGTAAAGAATCTGTCGCCAAAATTCTCTAACTTTCTTTCTCCTCATTGAATTTCATTCATGGGAACTCGGACCTTAAAAGTTTATAGCCGACTCTGATTTGCTCTAATCAGATATATTAGGTTATTTTGTACAAAATATTAATTCAAAACACGCCCAAAGAGCAGAAATCGACGGAGTTCCTAAATAAATTTGCGCCAAAAATACATATATTTCCTGTTAAGTGCACAATTAAATCTTGAATAAGTTTGTATTCAATATATGTTATTGTATTTACAATTTCGATTTAAGTTAATATTCCTACAATTTAATTGATGAAATTGTTGTTGTTGTAAATTTAGGCTAGTCGTTATTACGATTGATTTATGAATCTTCAATTCGGTATTTAAAAATAATCTCCGTTTCAGCGGCCCCTCATTCCGCGGGTTACTTGACAGCCCCGCCCGTCAACATTCCGGCGCAGCCACCGCCCATCGACTGACGCACGCACGTCTCCCTTCTGGCGCATCCTCTCTAGTACGCTTTAACCTATTAATGTTTAATCAAATATTTAGAAATGGACTGATCTGGATGGATTTTTTGTAAAAATGGATACCGAATCATTTTGGATATATTCGGACGACAGACGCGTGACATTTTATAATCACGTGGTTTAGAAAAATTTCATATAACTTTAATATTTCACATTAAATTCTAAAATAATTTTAGTGTTACAATTCCATATTTGATTTTAAAGCTTCAAATTTCGCCGACTTTTTCTGTGTACCAACTCGTGTTAAAGCGGGCTTTTTAATTTAATTATAAATGATTTTTTTTATATTCTATTCAGTTGTGGTAACATTATCAAAATTTACTAAATCATATTTAAGTGTATTTTACTATTATAAAAGACATTTTGAAATAGCTAATTTAATTGACTGTCTATTGTCGTGAATTTTTAAGTCAACATGTTTTAAAGAAATCCTAGAAAAAACTTTTGAGTACTTAATATGTACAGAGTTCTATATACAATCATTAAATGCATATATTTATTTAATTCAAAATGTTTATTAAATTAGAGCACATCACATCGTAAAATACACTTGATTGTAATGTAATAAAGTTGATTTTACAATTTTTTAAGCGTTAATGTCACTGAGGTCATCGTACCCTTAAATTTAAGTTTTTTATCAACAGTACGAAATTATTAAAACTTATTATAACTAAAATATGCTATATTTTTGTAATATATTATTAAAAACCGGTTATGGCGATCAATAATATTTCATAATTTGGAAATAAGGCCAAAAATGTTTGAAACAAATAAATTGTGAATATGATGTGAATTAATACACGAACGAACCATTCGTGTGTCACAGTTTAAAATTACTAAAATGTCAAATGCGGTAAAAAGTATACTCGTTCATACAAATTTGGTGAATAAGAACATAAACAATAAATCAACTAATTAGTGAAGAGATATATTATATTTAACAGCATTACTTATTAAAATATATATAAATTTGTACATAAATTACGATTTTCAATTAATATTAGTAGTTGCATGATTTTGGCGTGGATTTATAAAGCGTATGAGAGGGTACGACTCAAAGGTAGGCGGAAAGGCGCAAACAATGAATCCCGTATCGCAATACAGTATGTTTTTGGAATACAGGAATCGATTCATAAGAATAAGCATAAGCATATAATAGGCATAAGCCCGCCTTCCACTGCGAGCGGAACGGACCCATTACGGATTCCGCTATACTCGTAACGATGATTTTCATTCATTTTCCGTTCCGCTCGCAGTGGAAGGTGGGCATTAGCCTTTGAATACCTTTAAACGTGTTATGTGAGACACTTTAATATTTGACACGGAGCTTTGAGTATGTTTGGCAAAAGGCCTGAGCTTAGTCTAAGTACGCTTTATTACGTTTCAGCCAATAAACGAATAATATAGATAACGGTTACTGCCAGTATATAAGATATCATAAGGGAAACATTTAAAGTGGAGACGTAGCGCGAACTTATCGTTTCTAAATACAATACGTTTCTGACTTTGAATCTTTCCTTAAAAATAACGACTATTTTAGTTTAAGTTTCTAAAGCCTCAATTAAATAAAGTTTTATCGCTTTCATTTGCATATTTATAGAATTAATTTCATAATTTAATTATAGTTTCTTTTGAAGACGTTTATATGTTTTAATTAAAATGTTATTACATATAAGTGCTTTGGAAATCATATCACTATATGAATATATTAAATGTATTATTAGTATGTATGAGAGTTTTATAGATTACTTATCCAGTATGTTCATCACCGCAAATAATTCAATCAAATATTTTGAAAAATTATTGTTTTGGGTTCTTATAAAATATACTTGAAACCGTTCACCTGTATTGAAACTAAATAACATAATGAGGGAACATTTTATATTATCGTGAAATTCGTCTAAAAAAACTGACCTTAAATTAAATTTGAAGTATCTAAAAAATATACAATATACTTAATCATTTTTTCGTAACGATCGCATAAAAATTGTATTCATTACAAAAATATTATATATAAACATAACAACTACAAATTCATTTTTTTAAAAGAAACGAATATAATGGTGATCGCCGGAATAACAAGAGAATTAATTGTTTACAAGTTTTGACTGATCTATCGATATTTTGTTATAGATTAAAGATTTATCATTTAACAAATATATCTGTCACACATCTGACATAAAAAACCATGTAAAGATGCGTTTTCTGTACAATTAATTTCATATTAGGGCCTGAGACAAAATCAGCTTACGACACGCTTCACCTAAACTAAAGCTAAAGGAATTTGTTTGGTGTTAGTGGGCCACACCTGTCGCAAACAAATTTCGTGTCTAGAGCACATTTCTTTTTCTTGCCATCGCTAAAAATTTATTTGATTATTAATACTACTTTTTAGTAGCAAACTCATTAAAGAGATTGTAAAAACACTTTTTTTTTGTAAATTGTATGTTGCTTCTCGCTATGTGTGATATTATTATGTTTAACAATTTAGTGCTTATCTATAGCTCTATCTAGCATAAGATCGCATGGGTTCTCTGATTGATCCTATCTGAAACTTACATTTGTGCAACGAATTGTCTTATGGCGCCATCTGTTCGACCTCAACACACTATAAGATTCAGCCGGAACTGTCCTATGTCAATACTTAATCGTTTCAATTGAATTATTTCATTTATATTTATCTATGATTACAAATTCGCTTTTTATATAACAAACGGGCTGGAGCCTCATCTGATGTTGAGTAATACCGCCGCCCATGGACACTTACAGTGCCCGAAAGCTCGTGAGTGCGTTGCCAACCTTTTATGAATTAGTATGTCTTTGATGGAGCCTAATTCAGATTGGTGCGGTAATACATCGACGGACTGCCGGTTCCACATAGAGGTTGTGCCGCATAAGTGCCTTAAGAAACCCTCGATTGTGGAACGACAGACATCGAGGTGATAGGGGCCTCGCCTTTGCCTTGACGTCCCATGAAAAAAGTAAATTAAAGTGAGAATAAAAAGTTTTTTTAATGCTGACATTCCGTATTGACAATTGACCGTTTCAGTTGACCATAGTGTAGTAGTATTGTGTTCGTTTATCGTTGCACCATTGTATTAAGGAAATATAAAAATAACATCGCAAACGATAACATGACCGTCAAAGCAAGACTGACACATTACATTTTTGTGCATTGCAACACTAAAACTCATTCGCGGCAAATCAAAGTATTAATGAAACAGTCTTGTTCAAGTCATAAGGCTCTGTTGTAAAACACGTTTGAATTTGTTGCTTAAGAATTTGTATTAGTGTAAATATGTTTAAAGCATTAGAAGGGTGATAAAGGATGCTGGAAGAACCTATGTTCTATGGAATGATATTTAATATTTTTATATGTAGATTTAAGGAATATCAATGTATAGTAATATATTAAACGATAATTGTAATCGTGCTGTTTTATTTCTATTGTTTAGTGCATATGGTTAAAAAATAACGGAAAAGCATTTGCCCATCAAAATATGGTACTTTACTACCTCAAACTTCGTAAGTACTTTTAATTATAATTGATTAATCCAATCAATCCTCGTTCTAGTTCGTTGCGGGTAGGCGCAAGTTGAATATCGAGTCCTCACAAAATAACCAATTAAAAATAGAAATAAGTGAGAATACACAATAAAAAGTAAATATCAAACTGAACCAGGAGAAGATATACCACAGGCAAACGTATCTGCCTCATTATTAGTGTAAAAAATAGAACATTTTCACGTTTTAATTTGTGTTATTGCAACGGTGAGTTTTCGTTTTGACTAAAACAATTAAAAGTGCGTGTACAAATCTAGTGCAAGTGACTTGGAACAAGGATCAGTCAATTTTTGTTGATATTACTACAAAAAGAAGAAAAAACTACGACTTTGTAACAGTGATGTTAAACGGGTATACGTGACTTGCAGCGACCTAATACTACATTAGTCACTCCTTGTAAACGTCACTCAAGAAAGAAACTGTTCAAGTAATTCGTCTTCTTCGTCATACAGTATCTCGGCGTCGCAGATAAGCTGTGTTCCTGAATCGAACATTTGTATCGGCCCGAGTTCAAACCTAGACACGGAATATTGAATTCAATAATTTCGATTTCCATTTTTGTTTTTATAATTTTACTTGAGATTCTAATCTATTTCTAACGGATAGAATATAAAAGGAAAAATAATTCTGTAATAAAAAAAAAAAAAAAATTAGAAACAACATTTCAAAGTATGGACAAAAAAGAAATGGAATACCTTATAGAATCGATACACCAAAAGCTGTGCGAAAAGTTGGAAGATCAGACGAGAATTATAACAGAAAGTGTAACAAAGTCCGTCGTAAGCAGTATAAATGTGAAGTTAGCAGAATTAACTGAAGAAAACAAGAAACTTAAATCGGAGATCGTCGTTCTAAAAGACAAAGTAAAATTCCTTGAAGATGGGAAAAGGAAAAATAATTTAGTATTTTTTGGCATACATGAAAACCAACAAGAAGAACCTAACCTGCTTACACACATACTGAAGTTGATAAATAATTCAACTGGTTTATCCTTGGACCCTAAAGAGCTAAGCTCAGCTTATAGACTGGGCAAAAAGAGTGAAAATCCTCGCCCAGTCCTCGTTAACTTCACTAGCCTTCTTTGGAGAAAATACGAGGTACTGAAAAATGGAAACAAACTCCCATCTAACATGTATGTAAAAGAAGATTTTTCCTAAGAAGTATTAGAAAAAAGAAAACTATTACAAACCGAACTAAAAGCTGAACGTGCTAAAGGGAAAACTTGCCACATTAAAAAAGATAAGCTCGTTATATACGAGAATACGCGTGAGAAATCTGAAAAAAAAAATTTTGGTGGCGTCGGGACGTGACGACCCCATCGCCCACTGGTGAAATAACCTGTGACAGAGGTTATTTCATCAGCGCAATCAGTCAACCCCTTCCTA